ATATCCCATTTCCCACTCAAGCTCATCTGGAGCAACGCGTCCTTCATCCTGTCCAACCTGCTAGGCTTGTTGTGCAAGGAGACCACGCCATCAGCGATGCCGCCAGCGTTCAGCCTAATTCCCAGAAGATCGAAGGTTTCTTCGAAAGGCAGCGATTTCTCAGGTTCAGTTGAGTACTTCCACCCAAGCTTCCGAAGCATGTGCTCAAATGACTCGGAAGAAAGCTTTGCCGAAGCATCCACCTCCAGGAGTGGAAAGTCGTCGATCTTCTACGCGACAGTCGTGGGTCGAACTAGTCTGCGAATTCGTCGCGAGGTATGGGTTCGTAGGTGGCTTTGTGACGAAAGGGATGCCCATGTCACGTATGACCCGTAAGTTGAAAACTTACGTTGTGAAAGTGTTCGAAGCAGCTGGACATCCCATTCAGACAGTGAGTCGAATATCCCATCTTCGTGATTTCTTTGGAGGCGATGTGGCCGGTTTGGTTGGCAGTATGAGATTGAACCATCCCAATCATGTTTGGGCAACGCTTATTTCTGCTGCGCTCGATCCTGGCAAAAGGCCTTGTGGGCAGCGACAAGCGAATGCCCGTTGGATTCCTGATTTCCTTTCCCCAGTCTGACTCTTGTTCTCTCCATCTCCCTCTTCATCGATCCTCAGACATGTCGCTAATTCAGCCACTTCGACGCTCGTGAGGCTTAGAAGTAAGTGTCGGTAAAGGAAAGTCGTCGTAGAAGCACCCTGAAACCAGGCCCAGAAGATGCCAACTTAAGTGCAAGATCGATCTCGAAAGCCTGTTAAAAGCGAATACCGAAGAAGTAGCCCCAAAGGGGAGGCTCTGCGCCACGAAGTAGCAGTGTTTGCCTGTCGACGGTTCCGTGACCATAACGACACCAAACTTCAGTGAATCGCAAGACAGTGGAACTTGTCGGTAAGCTTTTTCGAGGTCTAGCGTGCGCCCCAGCCATCTAGGCGGCCGAGCCTTCCAATGGGAATGAAGTTCGCCACGAAGCACCTCTCCGCTGCTGAGCTCCACTTCCAAAGGTGAAGAAGGATCAGAAACTCTCGCTATGTACGTGCTGATGGCTGTCATCCAATTGACATCAAAGAGAGCAAGCTTTTCCAGGCAGTGGTAAGCCTCGTTGACCCCCCCCTCCTTGTAGCTGTCGATGGGTCTGGCCTTTGGCCTTTCCGGGGTTCCTTGCTCTATGAGGAACCGCCTCGAGCACACGAACTCGTCGACGTCCAGGTGCTCCTTGACCTCATTCTCGGTGTAGAAGGGGCCTTTCAGAAAGCCGTTGTCCCTGTCTTTGATCGTGCAATCCCAGAGCTTCTGCCTCGCAGCCGCATCGTCCTTGTGCGGGTCGCGTCCCTTGAGTCGCTCCCTTCTCCAGCTGGCAGATTCCAAAAGCAGGTTCCCATCCGACGTTGCCGGGACTTCTTTGACGTCGAAGAGCGGAGACTTGTCGGGCTTGCCCACAAGATCCACTCCTTTCATCAGCTCGAAGACGCCCCCGTCCGCGAACGACGTCTCCTCCAAAAGACGTGCCCAGAGCAGCAAATTCTTGTCCTTGACCACTTCGCGAACATGCTCGGGCAGCACTGAGTGTAATCGCGCCTCCTCATATCGAAGTTCCTTTTCCAGCTGGTTCAGCTTCTGGAACATCTGAACCCTTTCCGAAGCGAAAGCCGTCGGCCCCTCCGTCAATCTCCGAAAGATGTTCCTCTTCACCTCATCAGGAACACAGCGCTGGGTGTCGAAGGGATGGTCAAGCTCCAGTGCACATTCGACGAACTCCTGAGGCGTTCTATATACCCCAAACCTCCCGCTACAACCCTCTAAATCGGAGGTAAACTCTTTGAAGGGCCGGTCTAAAGGGGGAGCGGTGCGAAACTCGAGGAACTCAGACAAGAGTTTGCGGGCGCCCTTCTGTTGCGGCCACAAAGGTCGAGGACCTGCCGGGGGATCAAGTCGGGCTGGCAGGCCCGCTGCTGCGGAAAGGAGGGACGCCATTTCGGAGCATAGTCCTGCTGGATACTCGGCCTCCTGAGCAGTAGAGAAACTCCAAGATCCGTTGCAGCGGTAGACAAGGTAGGGCAAATGTTCATGCAGGCCGTCGCAGTCTGCTTCCATGCTCTGAAGCGAAGCATGACTGCACCGAAAGTGAAAACTTTTGATACTCACGAGCACAGCTGCATCGGCACATGACATGAGACATGACTGTAAAGCTTCTGGGCAAAACAAAACATCCCACCACAAGAAATCTTCACAAGGAAAATACATGGTTAAGGGTCCCATGTAAGACATCGAAATCGTGATCACCCCGCCAAAGGATGATTTGCAGCGCTTTGCAAAGCAGGCTTTCAGAACGATTTTGGTGGGAATTACTGCTATACATGCCCAGAGCAAGACAGCCAACAAGCCTCATATCAGCAAGTGCAGAGCAACACTCGGTTTGTCCTTTGCTGCCGTGGGCGGACATACCGCACTCCAGGGCCGCCACCGTTTTGGTGGGCTTTGTACAGGCCTGCGGGCACCTCCTAACCTTTGACCTTTGGGCACCTTGTGAGCTCTGAGGCTCCAAGCGAGTCTGCTTGCCAGCTCCGCAAGCTGCAAGAGTATCGGCATCACATGGCTGTGATGGGTAAAGGAGAGGTTATCGGCCACATGCAAAAGTTGTCAATCTCTTAAAGATTTGAAGGTGATCCAATGCAATTCAAGAAAATTGCACACAAGCTCGGGTACAGTGGTACCAGCCAGTGACTGCATCCACAAGAGGCATCATGAGTATTTCAAGAAATTGCTTCTATCAAATTCGGGTTCATTTAAACACACATGCAACGAAAAGTTGTCGGTCATCATCATTGGGCTCATTCTCATGTATCATCGTGTGGTTCGGGCTCCGGAAGGTTCTGGTGCACTGGATTTGGCATCTGTTGACCACCAACATGGAGAATGTGGAACATGGCAGTCAAACGGGCAATGTCCTGGCGACGTGCGAGCTCTCGAGCCCACAACTGACATAGTCGGCACAAGTCGTACTCACCAGGAAACTCAAGCTGCAATTGCCCATATGGCAATCTGCGAACATATCGTGCCCTTCTCAGACCATCACAATCCCCAAGGAGATGAAAACGGGTTCCATTTTGCGGCGCAATCCAAACCTCAGCGTCCTCCCTAACCCGAAGGATGTCGTCATCTTGCAGCAATGGAGGCTGCTGGTTTTCTGCTGGCTGATTTGCAGGAATCAGAGGGACAGCTGGCAGCACATCAATGGCTGCGGCCTCGCCAACCATTTCATAGAGTGCAACCAGCTCGGCCTGGTTCTGGTAGGCTGGTCCATGGTCTCCGGGATACACATCGTCATCGTCAGGTTCTGAGTCTGGCTGCTCAGATTCAAGTTCAGAATCACTCGGTGTCGCAGGCGGCGATCGACCGAGGATCTCTGCACGAGTCCGTGGCGAGTAATGTTGCAAGCCTAGACTTTCACGGCTGCTTTCTGATGTGGTGTCAAGGTTCTCTGCAAGAGCAGGTGCTTCGGCTAGCAATGGTTGCTCAGCCTCTGTTGCTTCAAGCCTAAACCAACTATGTACCCACCTAACTAAGAGCCACTCCAAAAGGGATGCAAAGTTCATGTTGGCGCTGGCACGGCCAAGAATGAATGCGATGCATACTGTCAAGGTGACAACGAAGACAAAGCTGGTCCATGGGTATGCATCCTCGCCTGCTGATGCGGGCGAGTCAGGCACAAACTGTGCTCGGTCCTCATCATCCGCAGCCTTGTTACCCACGACCTGAACCAGCAATGCAAGAAGATGCAACGCCTCGGCATTCCCTCGACCTGTGCTCCTCACAGCACGAAGAAACTTCTTTGCCTGCTCACGGCGTTGGAGTTCCTCAAACTCAGTTGTCCCGACCAATGAAAATCCATCGTGTGAATCACGGATTCCAAGGATGTGGCTCAAGGTACGGACACGGGCTCCTGACAAGGACTTTGTAAACAAATCAGCAGGATTCGTCAGGGTCGGTACTGCGTGTAGCGACGCTTTCTTCCACTTGAACAAAAAGTCCTGCAACCATAACAGGCGTCCGGAGATATGGCGAAGACGTCCGCATCCCTGCCTTCCCATGATCCCCCGAGCTGCGCTGGAGTCTGTGAACAAGTGCATGGACACATCAACACGCATGATGTGCTGCAGGGCACTGCGAAGGAGGATGCCGTCGCACGTAGCACTCACACATGCGATATATTCACTCTCTCCACTGCTTAAGCTCACGCAGCTCTGGCTTCTGGAAAAGGTGTGAATCACCATCCCATCGAAGGCTATGCATCCGGCACTGGTGCTCTTTCGTGTTGATCGGTTCCCTGACCAATCAGCATCAGCGAACACCTCCAAGGTGTGGGTGTCATCTCGGACAACCAAGCCGATGCCTTTGCCCTCAGTCCGAAGGCAAGTGACGTGATTCTCGTGGAAGAACATGTAGTTCACCAGGTGGCGCAGGCACCGCCATGCTCCCTCATTGGGACTCCCACACATGCTGCTCAATGTCTTTATTGCATACTGTGCAGCAGGATAATCGCTTGACACATAAAGCAGTACCCCAATGCACTTTCTGTAGATTCCTGACTTCTCCTCATCAAGTGGCGTTAGCTGTGTCCATAAAGGAAGCGTGCCTGTTGGTAAAGAACTGTCCTTTGGGCGCTGTGCGGCAACGCCAAGGATTCTTGCAAGATCTACGACGTGCTTAGGGTTTGGGCTAATGCAGAAAACATCACCCTTGACCCATCTGTGTCTCCGTTTTAAGAAACTGACCTCATCGTCGGGTTGTCTCAAAAAGGAAATTGTGCAGCGATACCTGGACTTCACACACTCACTGAGCCTCTGCATGGTCGGATCGGACCCGACTGCAAAAAGATCATCAACGTGGCAAAGACCCCCGCCTCCCCCGCCATGGCCCTCATCTGAACTTCCAGGAATGAAGAACAGTGCTGGGGCTTCTACCAGCGGTTCAATGGCCATTTCCTCAAGTGCATGGACACATCAACACGCATGATGTGCTGCAGGGCACTGCGAAGGAGGATGCCGTCGCACGTAGCACTCACACATGCGATATATTCACTCTCTCCACTGCTTAAGCTCACGCAGCTCTGGCTTCTGGAAAAGGTGTGAATCACCATCCCATCGAAGGCTATGCATCCGGCACTGGTGCTCTTTCGTGTTGATTTGTTCCCTGACCAATCAGCATCAGCGAACACCTCCAAGGTGTGGGTGTCATCTCGGACAACCAGGCCGATGCCTTTGCCCTCAGTCCGAAGGCAAGTGACGTGATTCTCGTGGAAGAACATGTAGTTCACCAGGTGGTGCAGACACCGCCATGCTCCCTCATTGGGACTCCCACACATGCTGCTCAATGTCTTTATTGCATACTGTGCAGCAGGATAATCGCTTGACACATAAAGCAGTACCCCAATGCACTTTCTGTAGATTCCTGACTTCTCCTCATCAAGTGGCGTTAGCTGTGTCCATAAAGGAAGCGTGCCTGTTGGTAAAGGACTGTCCTTTGGGCGCTGTGCGGCAACGCCAAGGATTCTTGCAAGATCTACGACGTGCTTAGGGTTTGGGCTAATGCAGAAAACGTCACCCTTGACCCATCTGTGTCTCCGTTTTAAGAAACTGACCTCATCGTCGGGTTGTCTCAAAAAGGAAATTGTGCAGCGATACCTGGACTTCACACACTCACTGAGCCTCTGCATGGTCGGATCGGACCCGACTGCAAAAAGATCATCAACGTGGCAAAGACCCCCGCCTCCCCCGCCATGGCCCTCATCTGAACTTCCAGGAATGAAGAACAGTGCTGGGGCTTCTACCAGCGGTTCAATGGCCATTTCCTTTATCAGGTGTGCTTGAAACGCTTGGAACCAATCCTTGGCTCCTGAGCGTTGGCCTGGGAGGTTTCGGAGTAGCTTGTAGTATCTTTGCTCACCTCTCACCCATATGGTCACGATGGTATCGACGGCTTGCGGAACCGTCAGATAGGCATCTGCAACGTCCAAAGATAGGGCTGTCCAGCCCTCAGGCTGACGTGCAACAAGCGCAGCTGGCAGCACACGAAGAAGTGCATTCGACGATGCAGGTGCAAACACTTCGTTGTCCACCATGGCACTGAGCCACCTGAACTCACGGGCGACAAAACGGGCCCTACGAAGGAAAGCTTCTCCACCTCCTTTCGGCGATGGTTTCACTCTCCAAGTTTTGACCATTTTTGTGCTTAGACGCTTAAACCCGCTGAAGTCAGCTGTGGCAGGTAGCCTTTCAAGAACATTCATGGTTTCAAGTCGGGCTAACTCGAATGCTTCAGCTATGTCGTCAATGTGGGCCAATTCTTCACTTGACAGCTGAGGCTCACCGGCCCCAAAAAGCCTCCACAACTCTTCAGGGATGTTCTTGGCATCTTCGAAGTTGTCGGTTGCATTCCAAGCAGGCGGATCCTCAACTGACTCGTTGAGGTCAGTGTCTGACCCAAGGCCTAGGTCTTCTAAGTGAACGACTTCATCGTTGTGGTGATGGGAATTCACTGCCCGGATCCTCTGGCGCTTTGCTTCCTGAACATCACTATCAAATTCAGCTCTTTCATGAACCTGTTCAAGTTCAGCCATGGCACTGTCTAAACCTTCTAGTCCCCCTAATTCATCAACCGGGGTGGTCGGCTGACCGGGATTAAGGCCACACCCAGACTAGGGTTTGGGGTCAGTGCCTGACACGGCTTGGGCTCTCCTGTGGCCAGTGCGCTCTCAGGAGGCGCTGATCGTGGTGGAAGTCTGGAAGGTTGTGATGGTTCCTGGGCAGGAGGTCGACATCGGCTGGCAATCTCACAGAAGAAGGGGCGAGTGCAATGTCATGGGGATTGTCGAAGACATCTTCATTCTCTGTTGGCGGGTCGCTGGCTGCAACCTCACTCCCACTGCCGGGGCCTTCCTCTGTGACTGGCTTTGGTGCAAGTTGATTGCGACTTGCTCCGACACGTCCAGCAAGGAATGACACATGCTTGTCAGGTGTGTCTCGCAACGCAGGCAAGAGGCTGGGATCATACTCACACGTGGTTCGACGGACTGATCTGGCGACCACAAGGCGACCTGATGAAGTGCAAACAAGGTGACAATCAGAAACATCTGACTTTCCCAACCACATGGCCCGAAGCCACCGAGGTTTGCCCTTTGTAGCAGTCTTTACACGTGCCAGGACACATTCTGCAAAACGGACAAGTTTGCCTCCATATGGTGATGCATGCACTCTCTCCCAAGGTGTGAGGTTTTGCGTGACACCAAACCGCTGAAGGGTCCAGCTGGCATGACGCCAACACCAGTGATGCAACGGGTCGAAAGTCTTGATCTTGATGTTCAATCTGCCCTCGAGCTCAGAGAGCATTGTCCCTGTGAGCTGTCTGATGCGCTCAATGGCACCTTCTGCATGGTTGCCTTGGTGCTCCCCCACTGGGGTTTGCTCTATGTGGGTCTCCATGCCAACGCGGTGCCTGAGTGCCTGGACTGCATTCGCAAGCGCAGTGCATGACCCCTCTGGGTCAGCACGAAGGGTGATTCGTCTGTGCCCAAGGTACGACAGCAGCTTGGTCAGCTCAACTGCCATGTAGTTACGGCAAGCAGTTCCACCTTTGCTCGGCACCGGCCATGCTTGCAACCACTTAGTTTGCGTGTCGTATGCAACCAGGCAGCACAACTTGTCACCCCCATCAACCCTGCTGGTATATGCAAAATCAAAGCACAAGACGGAACTTGCACGACGGTCTTCGGTCTTGGCCTCATGCCTGTCGGACCTTGCACGGAAGGCAACACAGTGGGCACACCACTCTTTATAAGGTGTGTGGGTAAGGCAGTGTTGACGGTATGCATCTTCACTTGGTGCTGTAACATGTTTCTGCTCCACTGGCACACGCTCTTCAGCAGCAGCAAGCTGCTGCCGGGCCTGATGGGCAGCAATCAAGTCCTGGCGGGCCAAGTGATCTCTAATGCGCTTCAGCACAGTGGACTTACCACCGGAACGACCAAGCCCCAGTGACTGAGCAGCTTGCCTCAAAACAGCAAGGGTCGATTCAAGGCTCAACGACACACCGTCAACGACGAGTGTCCCATCATCATCTGCTGCAACCTCGTCACGCAGGGCTGCATCAACTTGCAGTTCGGCCCCGGGATCGGGTGCAACGGCTGCATGCTGTTGTGGCTCGTCCTGGTCCATATTTTCAGGCTCTTCAGGTGGTGGTGGCAACACATGAGGTCTGCTTGACTCGGCTGAGTCACTTGCAACTGTCAACCCAAGCTCATCTGGGGAAACAATCTTGCGAGTGGCGAACACGATCAACTCACGGGTGGCATTCTCAGGCAAAGGTCCACTCAGATCGGAAGCATCAACGATGCTCTCGCACCACTCAAGAATCTCCCACTGATTGGGTTCGGGGCACTTAGCAACAGTGCTCCTGAAGCTGCAACCCTCATGAGGCAACGCCATCGTGATGTCAACGAACCGGTTTCCAAATCCACGCATGCCGAAAATGAAAACTTTTGTAAAGCCACAAAGCGCCTGCAGTCAAAACTCGGTTGAAACAACTGTACACTAACAAAACGTGTTTGACTATGTTCAAGACACATGGCTTACAATAGCGGAAAGGTTTGTCACCCCGCCTTGAGTTATGGCTCTGCCATCAACTCACTCACCTACAAACTCCCAACTTTCAGCACTGCTGGCTGATAGTCGAAAATGTTGTCTCAAAGGAACAGTAGGTTTTAAAGCGGTAAACGAAAAGAAACTTGTCAAAAACATGCACTGCACAATGCACAATCTGAAGAAACTAATTTACATCTGCCACTCAATGGAGCTTGATGCACGTAAGGCCGTGTGCATCGTAAGAGCTCCCATTGTGAAACTCACATCTTGTCCCTTGTCTCACAGCCTTGATGCACGTAAAGCTTTGTGCATCGCAAGAGGCCAATATGTGCACCAGTAGCTCGTAGTGCACATATTCCATTCAAGGTCGCAAGCAATCCATGGACCATCATCATTGTACGGACCACAGCTGGCTCACCACAGACTGTTCACAGTCTGTATCGAATTTGTGTAGACTTTCCACAGCCTCTCATACCAACTTCATTGCCAATCAATCGCCATCACGATGAGCGCAGTCTCTGCACCTCCGGAACGTTGTAGCTCTTCTTCGGCTCACATGCTCACAGTGACGACTTGTGTGATACACATGACCCTGGCCTGTCATTACGATCTCGCCCCGTGTCGGATTTTGCACTTGCTGAAGTTCTTGCACTTGTGCAAGCAACTGTGTCTCTGACTCCTGAAGCCGAGTGTTCCACTCTCGTAGCCCTCTACATTCGGCTCCAAGCTGATTCGAAAGTTCTCGAAGTCTCTCAATCTCGCTTGCTCTCTCTCTCATGATGTTCTCGGTGTGGTACTTGTAGAGAAAATGTCGCTCGTCTGTCTGGGTTTCAGCATCATCTCCCATGTTTGCTGCTGGTCGCCCATTTGTCTGCACTGGCTCGCTCACCCTTGTGAATCTCAGCCACAACGCACCTAAGCCCATGCAAACCATCACCACCAACACTGTCATGACAAATTGCCCGGTACCTGTTGTTGAAGTCATCGAGATACACACCATTTCCTCGCTCAACTCGCTTGCCATCCCACTCGAAGTGAGCGAAGCAATCACCAAGCCACGAATGGCCTGCTTTGCTCTGCCATTCATCTTCCCAGGCTCAAGGCGCTTCACTTGCTGAATTGCAATCTGCATTGTTCGCTTTTCTAGATACAGGTTGTACTCTGTCTCTCCAATCCTCTCATGTGTGTACGCATCAACGACCTTCATGAGGTACATCAGGAATCGCATACGACTTCTTGTTAACAGCTTTGTGGACACATCAGCAGGATTGAGCTCACCTCTCAAATGCGAAACTTTAACTCGCCCATTCATCACATGTTGTTGTACCCACAATACACGACATGAAAGGTGACGGATTCTACCAACACCAGATCTCATCCACACTTGTCGGCCTGCAGAGCTATCCATATGCAACTCAATCGGCAATGCTTCAACCTCAATCTCCAACATGGTGCACAGGACAACTTGCAGCAACATGCAGTCTGCTAAAACGCCTGCACTCGCATATAGCTCGGCTTCTGCACTCGAAAGTGCAATCGTTCTTTGGGACCTGCACGACGTATAAATAACGTTTCCTTGCAAAGCCACAACTCCAGAGCTCACACTTTTCCGATCTCCCTTCTGGGAGGCCCAATCACTGTCAGAGAAGGCTTCCAGAACCCACTCGCGATCATACTCGTGGCCTAACAGACCACCTTTCTCAGGCGTCATGAGCAATCCCTGGTTTGTAGTCGCTCCTAGATACTGCACCAAATGTCGCAACATTCGAAAATCTCGCATGCTCGGACTGCTCATTCTTTGCGAAAGGAAACGGATACTGTTCTGGGCTTCGATTAAGTCAGCTGACATATAAAGCAGAACGCCTATGCATGTACGAAATACTGCAGTTTTCTGCACGTCCAAAGCTGAACTCACATCGATTTCGGTATATCCTGGCATCAGAGGGCACTTCTTGTTGCACATGTGAGGTTCCAGATCCATAAGCTCCATAAGCCTTTCAACATGTTTTGGATGTGGGGTAATGGTCAGGGTGTTTCCCTCACCCAACACATGCAACCTCTTCAAAAATGTCATAGTGTCTCCGGGCTTCTCCAAAAGCTGACATGAAACCTTGAAGTGCTTCTCCATGGCGGGTTTAAAATCTTGCTTCACAGCTGCTCGCTTTCCCAAGAACTCGATGTCATCCACATGTGTTTGCAAGAAAACTACACCATGAGGAGTGTTGCAGCGAAAAGCACTCGGATACGCAGCGCAAGCTGTAGCATTCACATCGGTTTCTAGGCATTGACTCAGCTTCCGATGCCACTTTGCTGTCCCATCGCGTTGTCCTGGCAGAAGTCTTCCCAAAAGAAATTTCCTTGCTCTTCCATCTGGGTCCTGATAGCTCACTTCAGTTGCCACCTCCTGCTCAACCATGAGGAATGCGTCTGACACATCCATCGATCCCAGCACCCAGTCTCCATCCCTGGCCTGCAAGTACGTGTAAAGCGAAGGTAAAACCTTGGTCATCAATGCGCTGCTAGCTGGCGCATACAAACCTTCTCGCTCAGGACTCAACCAATTGAACTCTCGAGCTACGTACCTGCTGCGCCGAAGCCACACTGGGCGCATGACCTTGGTCACAGTATCAGGCATTTGTTTCTCCCGCCACGTTCGCACCATCTTGGTGCTGAGCTGCTTGGGGTTTTCGCGACCAACCAGCGGTCCCTCTTTCGAGTCTGGCGGAAGTAGCACCTTCATATCTGTCAGCCGCTTGAGTTCGTACTCATCAGCCAATCTGTCCAACGCAGCTAGCGCAGATTCATCCAAGCACGGCGCATGTTCTGTGTCTCGAGGAAACACCAGCTGCGCCTCAACGTTCTCCCAGTCGATTTCTTCATATCGCTCTGCCTCGATTGAATGATCATACTCTTCCAGGTCATCGAGCTCTTCGGGAGACAAGGTCCACTCGATGGCCTCATCTTCATGTTCATACTTGTTGTCGCTGATCTGGCACACACAAGCAAACTCCAGTCGATTGACTTCATGTCTCACCTTCGGTGCCTTGGGGCTTCTAGGATTTTCACTCAACCCAGTAGCCACATCACTAGCTGCCTGTTCTGCTGTTCTCGTCCTTGAAGCCATGGCCTCATCTGGCACAAGCTCACTGGACGACCCAGTACTCGGCAGTGACATCGACGTATCGCTGGTTTCACTCCTGCTGTGAATCATAGGCATCTCAGTGGTCCCCGCCTCGGCCGGCATCTCAGGCTCCTCAACATCGCTGGTCCTTCTGCTTTCGCCTGAGCTGCTGACCCGTTCTGATTCTTCGCCAGCTCCAAGCAACGCAGGACTAGGTGCAGGATTAGGAGTCGGGGCTGCCACTTGAGGTGCCACAATCCGCTTGTTCACCACCAGCTTGCCACCCAAACTAGCAAAGCCATGTTCCCAAGGAGCCAAAGTCACCTCTCCACAGCGCTCAAGACTCCAACGGTCCTGCTCCACCAATCGTCGCACCGATCTCGTCAAGAACAAACCCTGGTCTGTTGCAATGATGTGTGTATCATTCTGGGTTGTTTTCCCAAGCCATACTCCTTTACACCATCTCGCCCCAGCCTTGGCACTTGTGCGAAGGTATCCAAGCACTACCTCTCCATAACAACAGATTCGCCCCACATACTGACTCGCAGTCACTCGCTCAAAAGCTGTGAACGAATGTTGCACTACAAATCTGTTGTGAATCCAAGCTGAATGCACCAAGCACCACATGTAGAAAGGGTGCAAACTCCCGAACACCACTCGGCCTTCTGCACCACAATTGGCTTCCACTTGCGAAACCATGACACCTGCATGTGCTCTTATGCCCTTCCATGCCTGCTCTACTGCACCATTGGCCTCGTGATCTTCCACCGGAGTTGTAACACTGCGAACCTTAATACCCAGTTGTCTGCATGCTCGCTCTGCACTTCGAACCACTGCCTTGATAGCCGGCTCACCGTCGGATTTGAAGCAAACCTCGCGATGTCCCAACCATGCCACAAATCTTGTCAACTCTGTCGTGAGATACGAAAGGCTTTGACCACCCTTGCTCATCGAAGGAATCACATGAACAGCCTTTAGAATGCCGATCGTGAACCACCAGGACTGTCAGAAGATGTTCCTCTGTCTCCTGTCGCTTGCAGAACCCAAAGTCCACACTCACCACTGACTCTGAAGTGTGTGCATGGTCCAAATCATGATGAGCATCCTGTCTGCCCCTGTGAGCCACACAGAGTCCACACCAGCTTCTGTAGGGCTGGTGGGTGATATTGTGAGTCGCCACCTGCTCGGGAGTCGGATTTCCTGGCTCAGTCACACCACGAGGCTTCCTTTCTGAGTCACCAACTGCTGCAGCCACCGCCTGGTGCTCTGCCAACAAAGCATGTTCCTGGATGTGGCGTCGCAGTCGCTCTAGACATTGCTTCTTGCTCCCTCGCTTTGTCAATCCAAGAGCAACGCAACCTGCTCTCAAGGCCTGCAGTGTCGAGTTCAGGTCCAAACGGACCCCATCAATCTCAACCTCATTGTCGGCAAGTGGGACATGTCGCTGCTCTACAGGTACTTCGGCTTCATCAGGAGCTGCGGGTACTGCTTCGGCTTGCTCAGGCTCCTGACTTTCATCAACCACACCAACACCTGCATGAAGACTAACACCATGCCTTGGCATTGCTTCACCGGGCTCAGCGTCAAACTCGAAACCAAGCTCTTCGGGGCTTACTTCGTGATCGTGCGCAATGGTCATCACCAGCTCGATGTTCTGAGGATTAGGCAAGCCCGCTTCGTAATCGTCCAACTTGATAAACTGCTTCACCTACTTGCACCAAAGACCCATCAGTCGGCAGATTTGCAAGCACTGATCGCAAAGTGATGGCTCGCACATGGAGTCGCTCATCAGTTCCCGTCCTGGCTTGCTCCAACATTCGGATTGAACCCTGAACTGCCAAACTGTTTCGCCTGAACTCCACTGGAACAGCATGATCTTCACATCCAAGCTGAAGTTGATCATTCCATTTTCGCACCTCAAACCCAGCTTTGTAAAGACGCCCCAGACAAAGAAGTGGATTGTTGACAGGAGCGATGATGAAATTTTCTTTGAAGCACATGTCACCCAAGGTAACCTCTGCTACTCGGACCTGTGCAACAAGAAGATCATTCCCTTGTGCATCCACGAAGGTATGTCCTGAGTCGCCTGCTGGTTTGCCAATCGAGGCAAAACGAAGAGGCAATGCGCTATGGTCGGCTCCCGAGTCCAAAATCAACTCTATATCTCCACATTCTGTCCACTGTTCATCGTTGTCGCTGTAAGACATGTCGTACTGCTCTACCATGCGAACACTCCCTTTGTAACACTCATCTTGACTCGTCAAATCAAAGAATGCAAAGGCTCTGGGTGCACTAGAGGACTGCAAAACCCTTCTGATTGCTCCTGCCTGGGACGCCGAGGACTGCGAAACCGAGCTGCTTGCTGCTGCGCTTGTCTGTTGTTGCGTATTGGGCTCATCTGACTCTGTAACAGCACGAACAGCACCATCTCGCTTGGCTTGCCAACAATCCTTTTTCCAATGTCCCGGCTTCCCGCAGTACAGACAGTTCCCTTTCGGCACTTTGTCCTGGCCCTGCCCTTTAGCTTTGCCCTTGTCAGCTGAAGCTTTTCCAGAACCCGATTTGTCACCCTTGCCCTTGCCTTTGTTTGTCCTATCATCTTTGTGGCCTCCTTTTGTTCCATCGCCCTTCTTTCCTTTGTAGTCACCCTTTTGGTTGTTTTTGGTCCACCACTTACCTTTGCCCTTGGAAACCAAATCTATTTCCATAGGTTGAGGACCATTGTAGACAGCACCGACGCCAAACTCTTGCTGGATCTTCGAAGCATTGTACACATGCGACACAGTCTCAAAAGACAGCACGCGTTCTCGCACTTCTGCATAGGTTGAAGACTCAGACATGGAAAGCTGAACTTGTTGTCGCACATGTGCTGGCAAAGCTTTAGTGAGGATCCCCAGCATCATTTCGTCCTGCACCGCCTTGCCCGAGGACTTGCGAAACTCTTCGGCTAACCGATCTAGCCCTTGTATTTGTTCGAGATACGATCTATCCTTCGAAAACGAAGGAAAACTCATCAACGCTGTCATGATCCCCAGACTCCTCTGCTTGGTGTGGGGGCTATAAAGATTTACAAGTTGTCGCCAGACCTCATAGCCATGCTGCTCGCTAGTCGCCCGCAGAACTTGAAGAGCTCTGCCTTTCAAAATGCCACATAAAATCGAGTACAACTGCTTGCTTCGGACCTTAGCTTCATCAGTCCATGCACTCAACACAGTGGCCTTCCCAAGCTTAGTGGCCTCGAGGTCCTCTAGGTCTGTACGAAACATCTCATCGCCATAATACAGCCATGCCTTGAACGCCATCGAAAAATCAGCCCACTTTGTCTGGTCATCTTCGACTGTGCCACCACCAAAGCTGTCTGGACACTTACAGACTTTGGAGGCTTCCGAGAATCCAGCCCTTCCTGTGCCCTTGCTGCTCTGCGAAGCTCTCTCGGCTGCCAGAGCCGCTTTCGAGGCACTCTCGGCTGCAGCTGTTGCTGCCCTCACAAGATGAGCAACATCTTCTGGGGTCAAGGCCATGACCTGTAACTGTCCAACAGTTCAAGCCAGCCAATCTCGCAAATCGCCCAAAATACAGCAGCTGAAAACTATGGCTCAAATCACGGCTCTAGACTACAAAACAAGGCTTCCAAAGCCTGGACGAAAACAAAGTCGTGTCTCGAAGCCCTGGGCTTTTCCCAGTGGCTCCGCTACCATGAAAACTTTTGTAAAGCCACAAAGCGCCTGCAGTCAAAACTCGGTTGAAACAACTGTACACTAACAAAACGTGTTTGACTATGTTCAAGACACATGGCTTACAATAGCGGAAAGGTTTGTCAGAAAACGTCTTCACTGATCTGCACAAAGTAATCAGGAAGGGCCAAATCATCGACAGTGCACTTCACGGCACGGACACGGGATGCATCCTGCTGGATCATACGCACATGCAATCGTGCAGCAAGGCTATTCTGCCTGAAATGCAATGGGATTTGGATCTCTCCATGGGGGCTGCGAAAGACTCATGTTTCCATTTTCGTTCACCATGCTGAATCCGGCGCGGTACAACTTCCCAACTGCGAGAAGAGGTGTGGTGATGTGGGGAGCAACCAAGAACGTTTCGGTGAATCCAGGCTGATCACCGAACCTCAGCTCAGCTCGCCTAGTCCCGTGAACTAGCAGCTGATTCCCTTGGGCATCTTGAAAACCTTCCCATGGCCTTCCAGAGGAAACTCCAAGCATGCTGAGGTTTTGCGGTAGACAAGAGGCGTCGGCACCTGAGTCAATTATGACTTCGATCTCCATGCCATGCTCGGCATTCTGCTGGACCATGCGCACTGATCCACTGGTCGGGGTCACACCCGAAGCGTGCTCAACCACATCACGCTGACACACGCCCGAAGCGTGCTCAGCCACATCACGCTGACACACGCCCGAAGCGTGCTCAGCCTCGCTCTGTGCATCACTCGGCAATGCATTGTGGAAAACGCACCACCTCGATGGCACACAACGTGAAAAGATGCTCAGTGCCTTGCAAAAGAAACCCGAAGCTCCCTTGCTTTGCCTGTCTACTTTGTCTTGGCTCTCCACACAAGAATCACAACCTGACACCATGCGGATCTCACCTCCGGCTGACTCATCAAAGTCATCGAGGTTGTAGGTGACTCGTCTCACCTGGGGCTTTGCAGCAGGTTTTGACTTGGCAGGGGCAGCTGACAAGGCTGTGTCAGCATTTGCGGCACTGCTGTCAGCAACAGCGGCGTCTTCAACCTGTCTGACTCGCTTGGATCGGCAGTCTCGGGCAAAGTGACCCTTTCGGCCACAATTATGACAAGTTTTGTTTGCAGCAGGGTTAGGGTTTGTGCTGGGCGGAGGCCTGGCCTTACCATCCCCTTTCTTACCATCACCCTTACCCTTCTTACCCTTGTCATATCTGCCCTTCTTACCACCTTTATCACCCTTATCACCCTTCTTAGTCTTGCCTTTGCTTAGCCTATCAATCTCCTTTTGAAGACGGTCGATTTCCATTGGAACGGCTTCACTGGATGACGCAGGCGCATTCACAAGCACACCACCTTTGCCCTCTGACAGGCCATAAGTCGCTGCAACAGACGCACTCCACTTTGACGAAGAAGCATCATATCTAGCAACCAAACTTCGCAACTCGGCATATGTCCAGGAATCAATCTTCCATGGTCAAGTTCACATGCTGACGAAGTTGGCCTGTTAAACATCTCAGAAGCGACACAACCTTCTGATCATCGGACATGGCCTGTGATGCAATCGAGTCATACTCTGCCATCGCCTGCTCAAGCCTAACAACCTGAGTCAGGAGGCCTTGCTTGTTGTCGAACACAGGCCAATTGTGGATTGTCTGCATGAGGGCCAAGGCTCTGGTGCGGGATGAAGGGCGAAGGTCAAGCGAGATCAAGCGGTATGCTTCGTACCCGTTATTGTCAGACACAGTCTTAAGAAGACGCTTCAGACGGTCGTTCAAAAGCGATGCAAGCAGGCCATACATGATGCGTGACCTGTCGAGCTCAGTGGCGCTCAGCTGTGCAGGGAGAACTTCAGTTTTCGGATTCGATTTCAAGCGAGTGAAATCCACCTGAAACTCCTTATCTAAGGTCCCCCAATACTGCTCAAACTCCCAAGACCATGCTGGCCACTTGATCAGCTCCTCATCTCGGGTCTGACAAGAAAAGGTTGAAGGATGCCTCAA